GTTCTTGGCCAGGCTAGTCAAGGTTTCTTGGCAATCTTGGCCAATTTTTGGCCCCGCCAGCCGTGGCCAGTGCAGGCCAATTGTAGGCCAAACTTTTCTGCTTTTCCTTGCCAGGCTTACCCCAGTTTTACCCCAGCCAGCCGTGGCCTGTCCCAGCCATGCAAACCATTTATGTTTGTTGCTTTTCCTTCTCAATTCTGGCCCCGTGGTCCCTCCTCCTACATGCATCATTAATTCATTGATTGATTGATCGGTGAATTTGGTAGTGATATTTTCAGCACTCTGCATTTAGTTTTATAATTTGTCTTTTCTTTTCTCCAGGTGGCTAATGACTCCATTTTGTGACATCTGACAGCAGACCAACGCCAGTTTAATTACATACTTTCCTCTGTACGACAGACAGTGGAAAGGTGTATACGGCTGCTAAAGGGGCGATGGAGAAAACTGCTATTTCTTGATCACTTAGACATTGAGCTGTTGGTGTTGATAATAATTTCAGCACGTGTCTTGCACAACGTTTTTTGTTTGAATTACGATGACATTGATGAAGGTTACTTTGATGATCTGGATGACAATGATGATGATGATGATGATGATGGAGGGCATGGTTTGGCTCACCCACTCTTAAAAAGACCACAACAAAAAGGGATGCACATCATGGGAATGTTGCATTAATTAACAAATCATTGTCTTTCTTTTCACTGTTTTTTAAACTGATATTGTATTTACTTAAAGAGCAAGTTATTTTTGGTGGATATCACTTTTGCTGTTTCCTAAATGCATTTGTGTGAACTGAGGAACAATACTATTATGAACGAAGTATCTTGTGTACTTAGACTTTTTTCAGTTTACTATACATGTTGCCTGGCTAGCAAAGCCTCTGCATCAAGTAGAGCCTTTCTTTTCCTTTGAGTAAACAAAAGAACAGCTCCCTTTGCAGGGTGTATACATATAAAAATTATTTGTGTGGTCACATTGCAACTTATTTCTTCATATGTACCAGATAGGTATCCCAGGAAGAGATTGTGAAAAACGAGTGAAGAAAAGTCGGGAAAAAGCAACATCACTGTAGTTAAATTTTCACGAACACAAAGTGATCGTCTGAAAAGCTTATTTTGGTTTGGCTACAAAGACTTTTGTTGTTTTAGAAATATTAAAAAGTTGTCTGGCTAACAGTTCTCATTGCTCAGGGGTCATTTTTCCGTGAAAATAAGGTTAAAAATGCTGGAAGTCATTTTCCTTTTGATAATTGTCAAATTAGCAAAAATCACGTAAGAATTTCTGCCACACACCTCATGGCTGCCAGTTTTAATATATACAGTTTTTTTTCGTTAATAGTTGTTTGTTGTTCGTGTTTCTACGTTAAAGCCATGCCCGTATACAAAGAGTTTTTTTTTCCATTGCCTAACCAACACATTTTGTTTCAAAATGATAAAAAAAAGATGACAAAATAATTTAATAAGTTAGACTGATTCTTTCTCGCCTTTCTTTCTCGTTTTTTTCTAAAACAAATATTATCTTATCAATGTAGATATGGATTCAATGTGTGTTTTCAAAGACTTCATGGGTATAGCCTAATATTAATGACGTGTTCATTTACATGTATTTTAGGTAAGAATAATAATATAACGATTTTATTAGTAGTACTTCCACGAGGTGGATCTTCGCCTACTAATGCCCTAACTACAGTATATTATTACAAAAAATTAAGCCGATTTTAATTAAAATGATATGTACAATAAATTAGGGATAAGTACAAAAGGTTTGATTAAAAAAAATATGGACAATTAAAAAACAGCGTGGTTAAAAATAATAAAAATCAGTCATACGCTTTCTGCTTCAGAGAACATGAGCTTCTTCGCTAACCTAACGAACTTGTTGTAGTCTGGCTCTTGCCTTAACCTATCAGGTAGCGTATTAGTCCAGTCTACTTTGAAATACACTCTCAGATCGCTGAGATACATGTGAGTGGGGTTATTAACCGATGTAATTAATAATAAACTGGAAAAACATAATTTAATTAATGAGCATGTGCTTAACCGTGAACATGTCCCTTTACGTTATAGGCACTGAGAGTATGGAATTTAAGGCGTAAGTAATCAGGCCAAACATCATCGTAGAGGGCTTTATGAGTGATTTTCAGAAGTGCTAAGTCTCTCCTTTTTATAACTGGAAACCAGCCAGGTGTGTTCAAGTGCCTAGCTTTGAATGCTTTAAACAAACTTTCATTTCATTGGGTCAATAAAAAGAAAAACAACATTGTGAAGATTGACAAAGAACCTATTAAATTATGATTCTTAGATCATAAAAGACGTTGCGTAAACAAACTTTGAGAGAGTTTAATACAGTCACTTGTATCAAGTGAAAGTCTGCAAGTCCCTCGAACTTAAGCTTGCGAAGCATTGTCCTGTTTCTTAGAATCTTTAAGATAGAAGAAAAAATCTGCAAAAAATTGCTTCTTTTCTTCTTAAATGGACTCCAGAATATTTAGTTTTTCTTC